AAAAAATGGAATTCTGGGCATCATCAAAAGGAGTATAGTGTCTAGATCAGTGGTGCTTAATCTTCCGAATGCCACAACCCCTTAATACAGTTCCTCATGTTGTGGTGACCCCAAACCAGAAGATTCTTTTCGTTGCTACTTCATAACTCTAATTTTGCTACTGTTATGAATCATAATGTAAATATCTGATACGCAGGATGCCAAATTTGGTTCACTGGACCAAATTTGGCACAAATACCCGATACGCCCAAATTTGAATACTGCTGGGGTTGGGTGGAGATTGATTTTGTCATTTGGAAGTTGTAGTTGCTGGGATTTATAATTAACCTACAATCAGTGAGAATTCTGAATTTTACCAATGATGGAATCGAATCAACCTTGGCATACAGAACTCTCATGACCAACAGAAAATACTGGAAGGGTTTGGGTGGCCACTGACCTTGACTTTGGGAGTTGTAGTTCACCTACAACCAGAGAGCACTGTGGACTCAAACAAGGATGGATCTGGACCAAACTTGGCATTAATACTCAATATACCCAAATGAGAACACTAGTGGAGTTTGGGGAAAACATACCTTGACATTTGGGAGTTGTAGTTGCTGGGATTTATAGTTCACTTACAATCAAAGAGCATTCTGAACCCCACCAACAACAGAAGTGGGCCAAACTTCCCACATATTGTGTATGTATGTATGTAATATTGTGTTTTCTTATGGTCTTTGGCGACCCTTCTGACATCCCCTTGCGACTCCCCCAGGGGTCCCAACCCCCAGGTTGAGAAACGCTGGTCTAGATCAAGGGAAGCAATGGTGGCTCTCTATTTTGCTTTGGTCAGACCTCACTTGAAATAACAGTGTCCAATTCTGGGAACCACAATTTATAAGAGATATTGATAAGCTGGAATGTATCCAGAGAAGGGTGACTAAAATGATCAAAGATCTAGAAACCATGCCCTATGAAGAGCGGCTTAAAGAGCTGGGTATGTATAGCCTGCAGATGAAAAGGTCAAAGAGAAACATGATAGCCATGTTTAAATATATGGAAGAAGAGCATAAGGAAGAGGGAACAGGCTTTTTTTTTTGGTGCCCTGGAAACGAAGACTTGGAGCAATAGGTTCAAAATGATAGGAAAGGAGATTCCACCAGAATATTAGACCACAAGAGGTGTTCAACAGAGGAACTCTTTGCCTCAGAGTGTGGTCGAAGCTTCTTCCTTGGAGGCTTTTAAACAAAGGTTGGATGGGATGGCCATTTCTTGAGAGTACTTTATGCTTTTACTGCATGGCAGGGAGTTGGAATGGAGTGCCCAAGTGGTCTCTTCCAACTCTATGATTCTATTAATGTATTCTGCCCTAGATATAGTTTGTTTGAAAATGTTTGATTGAAATGGAAGTGGAGGATTTTCCTTGCTATTACTATTTGTGTTAAAAGTTTTTTGAACTGAAAAGCAATCTTATTCCCTATGCCTATCTGGAATAAGAGAGGTAGAAAAAATGACCTCTCTCCATTTTCTGGAGCTTGCATTTTTGTTGGTGTATATTCTCCTTATAACTTGGGTGAGATTGAGGAGATCAATGTATGGGATGCAGTTCTGTCCTCTGTCCCTCATTGGATTTGATGTGCAAACTTTCATCAACTTAGTTGCTCTTCTCTGGACATACTCTTGTTTGTCAATACCCTTCTTTAAAACGAGATACTAAAAATAGGGCAGACTATTCCAAGTGTGGCATTATGTTTCCCTTAATGCAAGGCTGCCTAGCTTTCTTCATCTGCCACATCATATTGCTTTGTAAGAGATCAAGTACTTATAGACAAATTCCAAGTAGAATCAATGGGTAATGGTTTTGCAAATGACACATGAAGAGAACAATTTCCCCCTATTTAATGAGGGAATAAATCTTCAGCAGGATTCAGTCTGAAGATAGGACAAGAACAAATAGGAATAAGTACCAGGTTTCAGCTCCTCCTCCTCTGATGACATGGAAAAGCAGCACTAAAAATCCTGGACAAATGCATCCCTGTAGCTTTTGGATATTCATAATATCCTCTCCTGCTTCTAAGAGCCTGAAGGAAGCTTGATGCGAATTGCTTGACAATGTCAGACTCTCCTGAAATATAGTCAGCCCTTCACATTTGTAAGGTTAATGGGTCAGGACCACAGTGAAGATAAAAAAGGATGCTTATTTTTTTTTACCCAATATGACAGCTCTCTAGGAATTTCTAGGTCTTCCAGCTTCAAAGAAGATGACTTTATGGAAGACCTAGAGATTCACATTAATAAATAATCAAATCTACAAAGACAAACCACAAATGTGGAGGGATAACTATATTAGGTTCTTGTAGGTTTTTTCGGACTATAAGGGCCATGTTCTAGAGGCAATTCTCCTGACGTTTCGCCTGCATCTATGGCAAGCATCCTCAGAGGTAGTGAGGTGCTTGCCATAGATGCAGGCGAAACGTCAGGAGATGCCTCTAGAACATGGCCCTATAGCCCGAAAAAACTTACAAGAACCTAGTGATTCCAGCCATGAAAGTCTTCGACAATACAGATAACTATATTATCATTTCCTCTCCATCTCTCATTCCAATAGTAGCTGTAACATTTCCAGGGCCCTGATCCTCAAGCAGATACGGTTTAAGGGTCTCTCAAAAGGAAACAAAGCCACAGATGCCCCAAAACAATGGCTTATTGATTTATTGTCGAAGGCTTTCATGGCTGGAATCACTAGGTTCTTGTGGGTTTTTTCGGGCTATAGAGCCATGTTCTAGAGGCATTTCTCCTGATGTTTAGGAGCTGACCTTGCACAGACCACCAAAAAATTTGCAACTACTGAAAGTGGTTAGTTCCTGCCATAGATGCAGGCGAAACGTCAGGAGAAATGCCTCTAGAACATGGCTCTATAGCCTGAAAAAACCCACAAGAACCTGGCTTATTGATTGTATGAATATATGCAGCAATAAAACCCATGGCAAAGAAAAAGTTAGCTCCTGTCCCTTAGCCGAACGAAGCAGTCTTTTGTCACAGCTGCCACCCACCAGGACCGTAATGATGAATGAGACACTGCTCTCAGTGGACCAGTTTTCTGGGTAGGACTATAGTTGATGCATTCCCACCCACACCCACCCCTGGCCATATCATTAGCTGATCTTTCCTGATGTCCCTTCTTCATTGTTCTAGATTCTAGAAAGTGCTGACATTTCCATAGGCTGAGATTACTCTATCCTAATTAATGAAGGAATAATTTCCCAGGTATTCTGAGATGGAAATATTTTCATCTGTCTCTTCAACATGAGCTGACCTTGCACAGACCACCAAAAAATTTGCAACTACTGAAAGTGGAATTCTCCTTCCCTTCACAGGCCTACTTGAGTAATGAATTACTATGTTATGAATCCCTTATACACATAAAACAGTGTAAAGCATCAAATAGTGACATATATTCTTCGATAATTCCTCCAGGAATTCCAGTCCTCTACAGTTGGTCTCATCATGTTTAAAGGTGCTTAGGTAGAAGAACTGGCAATCAGAGTAAAACCTGTGTTTACAGTTCTCACTTTAGTTCCTTTTTGGATTACTTATTATCTCTCTTCTGGTATGTTTTGAATTTCTGCTGGGCATTTGCATACATTTGTTACACCTTAACCTCTCTTTTATTTTTATTTTTATTTATTTATTTATTTATTTATTTATTTATTTGGAGTGCTTCTACCCCGCCCTTCTCAACCCCCTAGGGGGGACTCAGGGCGGCTTACAAAAGGCACAATTCAATGCCCAACAATTCTTTCTGCTAGCTGGGAAACCCATACTAGTATTTCAGCTTCTGTATTTTTACTTATCAAGTCAATGTAACTATTTAGAAGAGATTGATGGCAGCATTAATCACAATGGTCATAGAAGAATAATCTATTCTTATCTATTGGTGGGTCTGTGATGATTTTGTGCTATTTGATGTCATTTTCTAAATACAGGTTGAATCTCCCCTTATGCAAAATACTTCGATCCAGAATTTTGGATGTTTTCAGATTTTGGAATGCAGGTCTAAACATTAAATTACTTTATGGTTTCTATATTGCCTGGATGCCTGCCAAAGATGCAGGTGAAACATCAGGAGATAATGCTTCTAGAACATGGCCATACAGCCCGATAAAAAAACTACAACTATATTGCCTTATCTACATAGTCTGAAAATAATTTTATATCCAATATTTTTTATATTGTGTGTGACACAAAGTTTGTGTACACTGAACCATCCAAAAGCAAAGTTGTCATCATTTCAATCACCCAGGTGGATAATTTTCAATACTGGAAGATTTTGGATTTTTAGATAAAGGGTGTTCAACCTGTAACAAAGGCAGACCAGCTAACTAGGAGGCTTGCAATTCCTTGCAAGGGCTATAAAATAATTGTGTGGATATTGTCTCTGAATAAAGACGACAGAAGTGGCAGTATGGGTATTATTAAGGCATTCACCAAAGGGAAGGGGAAGTCATGTAGCATGTTTTTCCTTCCAGGCTTGTTTCCGACTAAAAAGAGAACTGGTAGGGAAACAAGAAAGCAAAAAAGTATTTAAAACAACAACAAACAGAAACCCCTACATCAATGAGCTTTTAAGACCTGCTAACAAGTCAGATAGGATATCATTGTCATTACCTAGGACCAAGAAGAGTTACTTCCTATTTTTTTATTGTGTCAGAAGCGACTTGAGAAACTGCAAATCGCTTCTAGTGTGAGAGAATTGGCCATCTACAGGGATGTTGTCCAGAGGATGCCCAGAAATATTACCATCCTGTGAAAGGCTTCTCTCATGTCCCTGCATGGGAAGCTGGAGCTGACAGAAGGGACCTCACCCCATCTGGAGGATTTGAACCGCCGGCCATCAGGTCAACAGTTCAGCTGGCACAAGAGTTTAACCCACTGTGCCACCGCAGCTCCTGTTGACTTCCTCCTATAATAATGAACTAAGATAAAAGATTCTGCATACAAAATGGAAGTTATCCTACCTATAGAGATTTGTGATCAGTCCTTCTCTCCAACGAGAACAAAGATTATTCAGAAGACGCTCATGCTGTCCATACAAGCATATATAATTGGAGGCAGGAATAGGCTTCGTTGAAAAGCAGGTAATAGTTTCCACCATACTGTACTGATTGATATGGATTCGGAAATAAGTCCCCTTTACTGCATCTCCTGTCGTAATTGCCATCCCCTAGAATATTTTTTTAGAATACAATACATAGCTGTAATAGCAGGCAGAGAAAAACAAAGCTAGACAATGTATGTCCAAAAAGAATTTAGCTAGTTCTGAGTAGTTTTATACCAAATTCCCTGGATGTCAATAAAATGCAATACAATATAAAAAAATTCTATGGTCACTGACCAACATAAATAATAATAATAATAACAACTTTATTTATACCCCGCCACCATCTCCCCAAGGGGACTCGAGGTGGCTTGCGTGAGGCCAAGCCCAACAACACATCAGTAAACAACAAAGCAGCAAGCAAATAAAACAGTACAATTAATATAGCTCACATATAAGCAATAACACACAAAAATTTAAAAACCTTATGGCCGGGCCAGATGTAATAGATTAAAATTTTAAAAATACACACTGGGCATGAACAGAGATAGGATGTATCTAAGCAGGAAGGTTTTAAAGGATAATGTAGGGAGACCAACCCAACGGGTAGTTAAAGTGCTTCTGAGGACATTTGCAGGGAATTGATCAGAGCAAGGCATTGTTTCTTTTATTCTGGGAAGGCACATTGGAACAGCCACGTTTTCAGGCTCCTCCTAAAGACTGCCAATGTGGGAACTTGTCTGATATCCTTGGGGAGTAAATTCCAGAGTTGTGGGGCCACCACAGAGAAGGCCCTCTCCCTCGTCCCCACCAATCACGCCTGTGAAGCGGGCAGGAACGAGGGCAGGGCCTCTCCAGATGATCAAAGAGATCGTGTGGGTTCATAAACAGAAATAAAGTGGGGCACAAGCACTTTGGATGTCTACAAAACAGTTTTTCTCTTGTTTTGGATATATGCAGAGGTCACAGTTTTAAATACATTGTTATTAGGACAGTTTCAATCAAATATTGGATGGTTTTATCGAAAAAGATGAACACCAGTGGAATCAGAAGGCCCTGAATATAGTTGTTACATTTCTCCAAAATTTGGAAAATATCCTTTCTTGGATTATAGGTCCTGGAATCTGCCCAGCTAACCTGACTGCCGGGGTTAATATATTATGCCAGCCTGTAGAATATGGGAGTATGCATCTTCCTCAGAGAAGTTCTAGCTACAAGAATAACTCTTTGACAGGTAAAGTGCTTTTGTTGCATTTTCATCTTTCTCGTTCCTCTCAATTTTGCAAAAAAAAATTATTAGCCTTATAAAAGGCAAGATGAGATGTGGAAATTATTATATATACATTCAAAGTATAAACAGTGAAGACTTTGTTGACTTCTACTCTGGTGACAGTGCCTCATTTGCTATGTATAAAAAAGTTTTATAGAAAATGGGCCATTGCATTGTATTACCAGGTCACATCACACAGCCCTGCTTATAATACACATGCATTTTAAAAATACTCACATAATTAGATTGTGATTCTTGAACATCTAAACGGCCGGGTAATCCAGGTTTAAAAATATGCAAGTAATTATATTTTCCAGGTAGAACACCACCTGTCAGAAGCAGAGATATACAAAATTGCTTGTATAAATGCAGCCAGCATAAACACAGCTAATATTTACAGAAGACAACATTTCTCCCTTCACAACCTTTTGTTATTCTATTTAAAACTAGCTGTGCCCTGCCACGCGTTGCTGTGGCCTATAGTAAAACTTATCAAAGTTGAGGTAGATATCTTTTGGAGGTGGCGTGAAGTTAAAGGGAGGTAAGATTGGGGCAGGGAGTGATGGAGCGTGGGGTTGTGTGTGTGTGTGTGGCGGCAGGGGGGAATGGGGTTGCGTGTATGTGTGCGGTGGTGGGGGGAGTGATGGAGCGTGGGGGTGAGTGTGTGTGTGCGGCGGCGGGGGCAATGATGGAGCGTGGGTTGCGTGTGTGTGTGCGGCGGCGGGGGGAGTGATGGAGCGTGGGGTTGCGTGTGTGTGTGCGGCGGCGGGGGGAGTGGGGTTGCATGTGTGTGTGCGGGCAGTGGGGGGAGTGATGGAGCGTGGGGTTGTGTGTGTGCGTGCGGCAGGGTGTGTGTGTGTGCGGGAAGCGGCGCAGCGGGGCTTGGAGTGGGCATGGCTTCCGCAGAGGGAACGTTGGCCGGAAGGCTGTGTGCGCACGCCAGGGAACTTGCGGCTGGGCGCCAATGCGCATGCTCAGTTGTTTTGCCATTTTGTGAGTGTGTTGTTGTGTTGTTTTTCATTTTGAGTAGATATGTTAGTACCTTGTGGGTTGTGTTATGGGCATGGGAATTTTGGTTAAATTTCGTTGGGTTTTTTTTAGTTTTGTTGTTTTGCCGTTTTGTGAGTGTGTTGTTGTGTTGTTTTTCATTTTGAGTAGATATGTTTGTACCTTGTGGGTTGTGTTATGGGCATGGGAATTTTGGTTAAGTTTCGTTGGTTTTTTTAGTTTTGTTGTTTTGCCGTTTTGTGAGTGTGTTGTTGTGTTGTTTTTCATTTTGAGTAGATATGTTTGTACCTTGTGGGTTGTGTTATGGGCATGGGAATTTTGGTTAAGTTTTGTTGGGGGTTTTTTTGAGTTTTGTTGTTTTGCCATTTTGTGAGTGTGTTGTTGTGTTGTTTTTCATTTTGAGTAGGTATGTTTGTACCTTGTGGTTGTGTTATGGGCATGGGGATTTTGGGTAAGTTTCGTTGGGTTTTTTTTAGTTTTGTTGTTTTGCCGTTTTGTGAGTGTGTTGTTGTGTTGTTTTTCATTTTGAGTAGATATGTTTGTACCTTGTGGGTTGTGTTATGGGCATGGGAATTTTGGTTAAGTTTCATTGGGTTTTTTTTAGTTTTGTTGTTTTGCCGTTTTGTGAGTGTGTTGTTGTGTTGTTTTTCATTTTGAGTAGATATGTTTGTACCTTGTGGGTTGTGTTATGGGCATGGGAATTTTGGTTAAGTTTTGTTGGGGGTTTTTTGAGTTTTGTTGTTTTGCCATTTTGTGAGTGTGTTGTTGTGTTGTTTTTCATTTTGAGTAGGTATGTTTGTACCTTGTGGTTGTGTTATAGGCATGGGGATTTTGGGTAAGTTTCGTTGGGTTTTTTTTAGTTTTGTTGTTTTGCCGTTTTGTGAGTGTGTTGTTGTGTTGTTTTTCATTTTGAGTAGATATGTTTGTACTTTGTGGGTTGTGTTATGGGCATGGGAATTTTGGTTAAGTTTCGTTGGGGTTTTTTTGAGTTTTGTTGTTTTGCCGTTTTGTGAGTGTGTTGTTGTGTTGTTTTTCATTTTGAGTAGATATGTTTGTACCTTGTGGGTTGTGTTATGGGCATGGGAATTTTGGTTAAGTTTCGTTGGGTTTTTTTGAGTTTTGTTGTTTTGCCGTTTTGTGAGTGTGTTGTTGTGTTGTTTTTCATTTTGAGTAGATATGTTTGTACCTTGTGGGTTGTGTTATGGGCATGGGAATTTTGGTTAAGTTTCGTTGGGTTTTTTTGAGTTTTGTTGTTTTGCCATTTTGTGATTGTGTTGTTGTGTTGTTTTTCATTTTGAGTAGATATGTTTGTACCTTGTGGGTTGTGTTATGGGCATAGGAATTTTGGTTAAGTTTCATTGGGAGGTTGTGGAGTTTTGCTGTCCCGTTGAACCAACCTAACAGATTTATATATATAGATTTGACACAATCTCAGATGCAGGTTCACAGTTTGGGAGTGATCCTGGACTCATCGCTGAGCCTGGAATTCCAGGTCTCAGTGGTGGCTGGGAGAACTTTTGCACAACTAAAATTTGTGCACCAGCTGCGCCCGTTCCTTGGGAAATCTGACTTGGCCACGGTGGTCCACGCTCTGGTTACATCCCGTATAGACTACTGCAACGCTCTCTACATGGGGTTGCCTTTGAAGACAGTTTGGAAGCTGCAAATGGTCTAACGGGCAGCAGCCAGGTTGCTAACAGGAGCGGCGCCCAGGAAGCATACAACTCCTCTGTTGTGCCAGCTCCACTGGCTACCTATTTGCTACCGAGCACAATTCAAACATCTGGCGTTAGCCTATAAAGCCCTAAACCCATGATGGCGAACCTATGGCACGCGTGTCAGCACTGACACGCTTGGCCATTTTCTATGACACGCGGCCACA